CAACATAGCAAGACCCTGTCTCTTAAAAAAAAATTTTTTTTTTTAAATAGCCAGGCATGGTGATGCATGCCTGTAGTCCCAGCTACTTGGGAGGCTAAGGCAGGAGGATGCTTCATCCCAGGAGTTTGAAGCTGCAGTGAGGTATGATCATGCCACTGCATTCCAGCCTGGGTGACAGAGTGAGACCCTGTCTCAAAAAAAAAGAAAAAAAGGAAGGGAAAGGGGAAGGCAAAGGAGGAAGGCAGGAAAAAGGTAAAAGGGGAAAGAAAGGGAAAGGGAGGGGAGAGGGAGGGGAGGAGGAGGGGAGGGAGGGAGGGAGGGAGGGGAGGGAGGAGGGCAACTAACTAGGGAGGAAGAGGAGGGCAACTAACTAGGGAGGAAGCAATACCCTTTTTTTCATATGCTAAAAAGTTTATCCCTTGATATTTTCAACCTAAAGCCAAGAGGTAGTCAATGCCATACTTTGATGATGCCAACCCACACCACAACAGAGGACAGAGTTCTTGGGCTAGTCACTTTCAAGGATCCTGCTGCAGAGACTATTTATACAAGTAAACTTAAGACAAGCATAGTTCTCTATCTGTCCATTACAGGTTAAATGTTAAGGTTTATTAATGCAAACTGTAATAAAAATATAAAATAACTTTTGCTATAATTTTGAAAATAAGTCTTAAAAGATGTCACATAAGCATGTCTTTAAATAAGAAATCCTAATATAAGGCAACAAACTTCCCTCTTTTCCCACAAGGCACTTAAAACATAATAACTTCATGAAGACAGCCACCCAAACAACCAAATATCTTCCAAATAAAATTACCTAAAGAAGATAACGCTTAAGGTATAACTTGACAGTTAGAAAGATGAAGGACAAAAGGGAATCTTCTGGTGGTTTGTTGCCAAGGGAAGCAAACTCTTTTCTTCACAATATACTTGTTCTTGGCAGGAATATTGTAAGAATTAAAAGGGAACATGTGGAAAACATTCTGAGCTCTTTGAAAAAATGTAAACTCTGTCTAGTAATCTGAAGGTGTGATATGCTTTAACTCTCACATTCTAACCAAAAGCAACTTGGGACTTGGCAGTACGTTTCAACTCTGTTGATTGTGGATATCCCAGAGCTCTAAAAAGATAGCAGGGGTAGAATGGAGTAGGGGCAACCACACACCCTGCAGTTAATTTTTTTCTGCTTAAATATTAAAATGATCATGTTGCTATTTTTTTCTATCTAAAGATTACACCGAGTTTAACTGTTAATAGTTCTGTGTGGCTAAAAGCCAGCATCTAAAGAAAAGTTTTTCCTATCTAGCTCACAAGACAAACTGATCTTTCATTTGCTACTACAGTTACTTTTGGCAATCTGCTCCTTATTCTCAAAGTTATCCCAAAGAAATTTCTTAAAAAGAGTTCCCTCTCTCATTTTAATATGTAAACCAAACCACTACTACACTGCTATCCACCTCTAAATTACGATAATACCCTTTACTTGATCAAAACAGTAGTCACTTGAAATATAAATGGAAATCAATTAATCAACCTCTCAGGTGTTTACTTACTAAACCACATAATAATGAGTCTAATGCTAATCTGTAGATCTAATTTTCAAAGAACTAAAGGTCACTATCATTTTTTCACTCTATACTCCTACCTGAAATATGTGGTCATATACCTATACTATGTATATATTTGTGTGTATGTATATGCTATATATAAACTATATGTGTAAACTAAAATGTATGTTATAAAATGAATTTACAAAATAGAAGTTTAAGAAGGCTGAGATAAAGAGTTTTTGCAATTTTCCCTTACCTAATAAACTGTACATTGTATGCTCTTCATCAGAGACCAATGACTTAAAGAACCACTTTATTGTAGCCTAAGTATTCTTTTTGTAACACACATAATCACTAAGCTCAAGACTGTTTCAGGTCTAACCTTGTATGGACAGATCAGCTGGTCAGTAAGATCTCACTTAGGGTCTCACTCTTGGCTCCTAAGAAATAACACCACTGTAAGGTAATTATTTACTGACCATTTATGCCTAGAGGCTCATGCCGGATCTGTCTGGGAGATCTTTGGGAGAGCCCCTCATGGTAGAAGCACCACAGAGCACGTGTCAGAGTCAAGAACCCCACTCTTGAAGAACTTACGTATAAGTACTACAAGGAACATCTGGCAATATAACAATAACAATTAGTGATTTCAAGAAAAATTATCAGAATCCCCACCATGGGCAACCTGCCAACTGCAGGACAGAGAGAAAGACAGAGACAAAGACAGTTAACCTGTGGTTCTCAAAGTAAATCACTTAATTTATCTTTCAAAACCAGGATGTTCTGTTCTCTATTAGAGTCAGGGCCAGTATTCAAGGCTGAGGCAGTCTGGCTAGTCTGAGAGGGCACAGAACGGGCTTCTTAACCCTTTGCACTCGAATGTTGAGTGTGACTCGACATCAGTAGCAGCAAGAGAAAAAAGCAAGCAAGTGCAAAGGGTTAAAAAAAAAAGTACAGCAGGCTGAACTTGATGACCTTTAATGCCCATGCTGAGAAATGTCAACTTTTCCTCAGGCTTTTCAGGAGATGGCCTGCACACTGCATTAATTTCCTTCCAAGCCAGAAATTCTCAATCTTTTTCTAGCTAAAAAGTATGTATTCACCTAAAGGAAGGCCTAGAAATGTGTCACTGAGAGCTCAATGCTTCTCATATTTCACTTATGAAGATCTGAAAATACGACCTTCAGTTCCCACCATAATACTGACATGCAACAGAGAATGTGATTAAAATAAAATTAATTAATAAAACTGGGTATGGCAAAGAATGCTGGTACTTCTACTTTATTCTTCCTTACACCTAAAATACCTATTGATGTTTTTATCAACACCATGTAGTTGGTATGCCACTGTAAAACACAGTATCTTTAATAAGATTATAATAGCAGCTACCAATAATTGAAGGTGTACAAAGTGCACTTACACATATTATTTCTTTTCTTACATCAAACCTTTAGATGGACTTATCATCTCATTTTACAAAAGAAGAACAAGTTTTGAGATGTCAATTTACTTAAAATCACCATTTGTAAGTGGCTAAGCTAGAATCTGAAACCAGATCTGGCTCTAGAACTCATATTTTAAAACTACTTCACTATATGCTATATTTCTAAATTTGTGTTTAATTTTTTTCATATTTCATTCAATTATATGTTTTTCCACTGTCTGGTTAGGAGAAGAAATAATGACACTAAAATTTGAAAAGCAGTAACAAGATGTAGTGAAAAAACAACACAGGCCTTTGCATCTGAAAGATACGTGTCCAAGTCCTGGCTCCATTACTTACTAGCAATATTATCTCTGGAAATGTACTTAACTTTCTGAGTGCCCTTTTTTCATCTATAAAAGAGGAATAATGATAACTATCTTACAGAACTGTTCTGAAGATTAAGTGAGCATGTTTATAAAGTATATTGAATGGTGCCAGGCAATGCAGTGAGCATGCAATAAATGCCATTTTTATTTTTAGATACACAAAATAGTATAGGATCCGAGAGCAGGAAACAGATCTACCTAGAAGATGGACACAGTACATGATATTCAGAGGAGAGGTTTCTGCTAGTTTCAGTGTCCAAGCTGAGCGCACAAGTCTCTTCCCCAAACCTCTGAGGATGATCCATTGTGCTCAAGGTTCACTCCCTGACTGCTACCTGAACAAGCTGGTAATGCTAACAGGTAACTCTGCTCTGAGGGCCAAGACTGGAAGGAAAGAAGACAGACTAAAGTACACTGTTCATTTGAGGTTTTGGATCTCAAATCAAAGGGCTCTCAATGTTTTCAAGCTTCTGGCTAGAGGGGGCAGGCAGCTGGCTCTCAGACTGCCCACTGGCTAATCAGGACAATCTGTCACTCCAGGGCATAGTTCTCTTCTACCTCAATCAAGTAAAGAAATTCACTCTACCTGGTAGAGCTTGGGGATTGGACACAGGAGGGATAAGAGCGTACCAGGACTATTTTACATACCCCTGCCTCAAAGCTGGCCATTTGGAAGAGAAGAGTAAAATTAAGTTCTATAGAGTTCAGTGCCTGGATGTTACTCTGAAACTATGCAAAGATAGGCCTGTTTGAGGTTTGACATCAAACTATCAGCATGTAAAGGAGCTGAGGTTTCAGTGTAAGTTTGTACATGGAAATAGCTTGTGCTATTTTTCTTGGGGAGTTATAAGGACTTTTCAAGTTATGAAACATACTCTGACTGTGACCTTTAGAAAAACAATAATTATTTTGACTCTTCCAAATATAATCCTTTAGATATTTTAAATTGCAGGAAGCACTATTTAAAAAGGCAAATATTGTTTAAAATAAATTAAGCTATAGGCTAAGGGAACAATGGGCATTTTGACTGCTCTTTGGATAGCTACAAGATTCATGACTTCATGTTTAATACAAATGTCACAGATGCACAAAGATGTTTTTGGAACTCTATGCATCTCAAAAGAATAATTTCAGCATATCCACTGCTTTAAGATGAACAAGAGAAAATAATTTTTCAAAACTACTAGGATACTATAATAGTCAATTTAAAATACTGATTTTTCTATATTAAAACTTCTTTCATCCTCCAGCCTCCATTATTCAAACAAAGTTTTTTTTTTTAGTAGGTCTAAGACTTAGGCAAATTAGCCATATGCTACAAACTGGGCAATGATCTGCATTTTCTGTATGTTTCATGTTTTAGTAACATTCTTCAGATATCAGGAAGTAGGTAAATTTTGCTATCCACCTTCTTAGATCTAGGGCCAGCATTAACTCAGTCAATCTGACCCCCTGAAGATTACCACTCTGATCTCTGCTCACACTCCACTCCCAATACTAAGCACATAATGTATCACTTCACAATTGATGGAAGAAATTAGAATACCCTAATTTAGAAGCACGTCAATTTAGAACCAGTTGCTAATTTCTGTGAAGAATTCAAATAAGGATGAACTCACATAAGAATGATGTACATACCTGTACCACAGGATCTTTTGGTTGGTGTGATTAACGAGACATGAGCTGTATCTGTGCATGGCCCACCTAGAAACAGAAAGGCAGGCACATCAGTCAGGACACATATCCTCTACATGCTCATAGTTACTTCTGAATCAAGAGAAACCTAAAAAGTAAAGGATCATGCTGCAAATATACAGGAGGAGGAGGAAAGATGGTAGAGGTGATGGCGGGTTAATTCTAAGGACCTAATTTTAGTTCAGCAATTTACTCTAAAGTACTCCATAGTCTTTCTACATTCTAACATGCTTTTCATAAAAAAAATCAAGTCTTACAAAATGTTAACAAGTTAAAGAATAAAAATTTAATCAGAATTCAGATCTGGTTAGAAGAAATTACCCGTAAGTTTAGGAAAATGAGTTCTTCCACAGAATGATAAGGAGTTGGTTCCTAACCTCTTAGACTGGTCTCAGCAGTAACCTTACCTCTGAATTTATTTAAAAACTAGCCTTGTTTGAAGAGGGAAACTCCATAAGAAACAAGAAACTGCTTAGCAGAAGAAATAAGGATCATTTCAATGTATAAGGAAAGTATTACTGATCAAGGAAGAGTATTTAGTTTTATTATAAGAAGTATTATATGAAGAGGGCCTTTATAGAATCTTGGTGGGCCCAGAGATCTGATGCACAGGCATAATTCAAGAGTATGCAAGGGATGTAATTAGTCAGTCTTCAGAATCAGGACTGAAGTTGATATTGATACTGTATACATAACCCCACATCTCCCAGTGGACATGCCCTACGTTCTGAATTAAGAAGTTACTATACAAATATGAAGATCAGTGGTTCTTGATATCCCTGGCAGGGGCAGTGGTGATGATCATAAAGGAATAGAATACACAGGCAAATGTTACACATTTATTTTGAAAAGGCTCCCTAGGTGACCATGACTAGCAGAGGAGAAACATGGTTACTTGGCATAGTTCAGCAGTCCCCAACCTTTTTGGCACCAGGGACCAGTTTCAGGGAAGACAATATTTCCATGGCCAGAGGGGGGTGGATGGAGGATGGTTTGGGGATGATTCAAGTGCAATATATTTATTGTGCAGTCAAACCTCTTGACTTATGATAATCTGAATTTGCAGCTGCTCCCCAGCACTAGCATCACCATCTGAGCTCCACCTCAAATCATCAGGCATTAGACTCTCATAAGGAGCACATAACCTAGATCCCTCACATGTGCAATTTACAGTAGGGTTCAAGCTCCTATGAGAATCTACTGCTGCCACTGATCTGACAGGAGGCAGAGCTTAGGCAGTGATGCAAAAGCTGGTGAGCAGTTGTAAATACAGATGAAGCTTTACTCACTCACTCACTGTTCACCTCCTGTTGTGTGGGCTGGTTCCTAACAAAACAAGACTGTACTGGTCCACAGCCTGGGAGCTGGGGACTGCAGTTGTATATTACCTATGACAAGATTTCATATCATTGAAGTTACTCGCTGAAAAGCAAGGAAAGATGAAAAGGCTCTGAGATCTGTTCCTAGAGTTTACACCACTAAGATTCACAGGATTAGAAACTTGGAGATCCCACCTAAAAATTTCACCATTAGCCCACTCTTTCTTTTATCAAGGACAAAATGGCAACAGCCCTTAAGAAGACACACAGGGGAATTTTTAAAAGGGAAGAAAAACCAAGTAAGTACATTGTTAACTTCAAAGAAGACTTAGTAAATACCTACTATATGTCACCAGAGGTTAGTCCCACAGTCTGGGAGTTTATAATCTTTGTAGGAAGACAACATTTATGCACATAAATAAATAACAATACATGACAGCAATCAATAGCTGGATGGAAAGTGGTCGGTCAAGTGCCAAAGAACATGAAACAGGCAATAAATGCTAGATGTAATCAGGAAGAAGGACATTCGCCATTGGCCGGCATTACATGGAAATCCAACAATTTGAAAATGAGGCAAGAATAAATTGGAGAGCTTTGCAAGTCAGACCAGAGAAGAGGGTATTTTAATGGAAAAAATTTCTATAAGTGTCACACTCACCAGAGAATGCTTAACTTACTAAAATTCTAGAAGTTCAAATGGGCAACTGTGACATAAAAATAGGCAACATGAAGAGACAATGAGCTACAGACAAAACTAACACAGACTCCACAATCTCAAGAATCCTGTTGGTTTTTACAGCTCCATAAAATACTGTAGCTTCTGCTTCCATTTAAAGTTTTTTGTTTGTTTTTATTAACTGAAGCATTCTTATTTCTTGAATAGTATTAAATATAGGCTTTTATAGAAGACTCAGTTTAACTCTGGCAATTACTCCCTACTTGCCAAGTAATCTTGAATGAGTGATCCTTACTTTCTTTAACAAAAAAATAGGAATAGCAAAATTGCCAATAAGCCAGATACTTATTATGAATCATCTACATAAAAGGCTTCATCAACTATAAAGCTTTATATTATGTATCATTAACACCTTCTCTTCCACCAGGTTTCTTTTTCCTTTACTTTTTCCTGTACCTGCAGGAATCAGAATCTTCCACCAGATTTTGCTCCCAGGGGTCAAAAATCACGTTGTCATCTACCTTTGAGTGATGGCTATTTGGACATGGGTGCTTAATAATGCTCATCATGACTAATTATTTAATTTTATCAGAAGAGTGATGTACATTTTTAAAGAACTTTTTTTTATGAGCTATACTATAAAGTATAACATAAGAGAATAAAGTACATTGGTCTTAAATGTACATCCTAAGAGATTTTAGATATACTTGTGTAATGACCATCAGATAAAAATATTAGAATATTTCCAACATACAGAAAGTTCTTAGAATCACTTTAAAAATATAGACTCTGGAAATTTTCATGCAATAAGTTGAGGTGGGCACAGGAGATTTGTGTATATTTCTAAACGAGCTGAGCACAATGTAAATATTAACAGCCCAGTTGGTTCCAATTTCTGATTACATTTTATTATGCCTTACCATAATAAATATCTGGCCAGGATCACTGAGTTCTTACAACAAAGTGAGCTGCACAGACCACGAGACTCAATAATGACTAGTTACCTACCAAAATACTTTTTTTTAAAGGACAAAATAATTCATCCAGTAAAATTATAAAAGAAGGGAGAAATCATCAAATCAAAATGCCTAAAGAAATTCGGCTGGGCGTCATGAATAGACAACCCATATTTACAAATGTCCTGGATGATTATCAAATAAGAGAATATCTACCTCATCTTTAGGTTGAGAGTTTATTATTTTAAAAACTTCCAATGAATGAATTTCTGTAGATTTTGGCAAATACTCAAATAACTTTAAGGCTACCTAGCACATCTCAATATGCATCATCATGAAAGTGTTCTCCAGAGAGCTTGTTAAACTAACAACCCAATCCAATGTATTCACTACATTAAAGTACAAATAGAACCATAGTTGAGCCAAGACAAATTGACAGCAAGAGTAACGGGTAGTGATAATACACCCCAGCTTTGATAATTGGGCAATATTATAAACAGAGAGCTTTGAATTAAATTTGGTCTGGCAGACTATAACCTATGTAACACTTTAAAATCTAGAACAGAAGCATATGAGCACCACACCTATATTCTACACTAAGTGTGCTGTCATCTAAAACTCCCATACTCTCACATAAAAGGAGCACCGCAGGAGATTATAGTATCTACCCTTAACAATTACAGATAATTTCAAATCAACTTTATTAAAATGAATGCAGGGAATAAGGACTACACAAGGGAAACCTCTTTAGGCTTCTGTCCACAATAATAAAAATATGCCATGTGGTTTCAGTAAACAAAAAGGTTTTGAGAGATGATGGTAAGGATTAAGGTCAGTGCATCTGCTACACCAAAGGAAGTTGCTATTCTTTTCTGGATTTTCTAATGCCTGCAAGAGGGGTCGGCATATGTCCCAATAAATCACTATCAACTCTTCTCCCACTTTTGGCCTTTCTTCTTTCCAAGCAACAGGGTAGACAGAGATAGAAACTGAAAAGCAAGGTAAGAAAAGCTCTTCATGATTGTGGGTTCTGTAGGTGAATGTAGAGAGAGTATGTGTGTTGCGTGGGACTCAGGTTGGGAAAATAAACATATTTCTAAGCACAGAACAATTCAAACCATTACCTTCTAGTCTGTATCAGTGTCAAACAAGTTTAGAAAATAAGTTTTGGGGTTTTAACTGTTTAAAAAATCATAAATTTCTTTGCTTAACATTACAGGGTCTCTGGAGGTTCTAAACCAGATGATGTTAAGCCTAACCAACCTGAAGTAACTTTTAGCTAGTCATCATGAGTGCTTGTGCATCATGAGTATTTATTTTGCTAAAGCAAAATGAGCTATACTATAAAGTATAACATAAGAGAATAAAGTACATTGGTCTTAAATGTACATCCTAAGAGATTTTAGATATACTTGTGTAATGACCATCATATAAAAATATTAGAATATTTCCAACATACAGAAAGTTCTTGGAATCACTTTAAAAATATAGACTCTGGAAATTTTCATGCAATAAGTTGAGGTGGGCACAGGAGATTTGTGTATATTTCTAAACGAGCTGAGCACAAGTTTTTTTTCCCCAAGTTTCATTATCTGGAGATATTTTATAACAGACTAGCATTTTGCATTTGATATTACATTCAGAGAACTTTTTCCTTAAAAAATGTCAAGTTTCAACAATTTGGCCGGGCGCGGTGGCTCACGCTTGTAATCCTAGCACTCTGGGAGGCCGAGGCGGGCAGATTGCTCAAGGTCAGGAGTTCAAAACCAGCCTGAGCGAGACCCCGTCTCTACTATAAAAATATAAAGAAATTAATTGGCCAACTAATACATATATATATAAAAAATCAGCCGGGCATGGTGGCTCGTGCCTGTAGTCCCAGCAACTCGGGAGGCTGAGGCAGAAGGATTGCTTGAGCCCAGGAGTTTGAGGTTGCTGTGAGCTGGGCTGACGCCACGGCACTCACTCTAGCCTAGGCAAGAAAGCGAGACTCTGTCTCAAAAAAAAATTAAAAAAAAAAAAAAATGTCAAGTTTCAACAATTTGAAGTTTGGAA